GCGCTACTGAAAAACAGGGCTACTACACCGAATGCGGCAACAAGGGTGGCCACCCCTACTCCGGAAATTTATCCAGAACTTCCTGTCGGAAGGAGGGTGCGAGTACGCCTAGGCAATGTCACTACACCTGTACATCGAGTGGCCTGCGGCACCCCGCAGGGATCGCCGCTATCACCGGTCCTATACACCCTATACCTAGCTGAACTACTCAACCAGGACCGAAAACTCCGGTTCGGGTATGCCGACGACATCAACCTATACCGGGTCTCCCACTCTTTAGACGAGAACGTCGCACTGCTAGCAGAGGACCTCAAATCTATCAATGAATGGGGAGCTGCGAACAAGATCACGTTTGCACCAGAGAAACGGGAGCTGATCCACCTCACGCGCCAGAAAGGACTACATGCGCCGCCAATCCAATTGGAAGATCAAACAATTCACCCTATAGCCCCTGCGCAGGGGGGAAGCCAGACTGCGCTGCGCTGGCTTGGGGTGTGGTTTGATAGGGGACTAACTTTCAAGAAGCACGTCGCAGAAAGGGCGGCGCAAGCTAGGAAAGTAGCGAACCATCTCCGGAGCCTCGCCAACACAGCCCACGGCCCTCCAGCAGGATCGCTACGCAAGGCAGCCATAACATGTATCCTGCCCATACTACTATACGGAGCCGAAACATGGTACGAGGGCAGGACGAAGAACCCACGAATTGCAAGGGTTTCCCGTAAACCCACGGTCAGCACTAGGGTAGGCTGGCACCTAACCACGATAGATCAGGCACTAATAGCAGCCACGAAGGCAATCCTCCCTGCGTGGAGGACAACACCAAACGCAGTACTGCTAAGAGAAGCTGCGATGCCGTCGGCACAGGTGGCGCTAGAGGAGGCCAAGCTCCGCTTTGCAGTTCACCTACGCACAATAGACGACAAGCACCCACTTACTAATAGAACTACACTGCCACTAGTCATACGAGGACGCGCAGCGGGCAACCGACGGATACCAAGATCGAAGGTTCAGCGCGTAGCACAACTGCTACCCGCCACACCCCGAAACGTCCTAGCCAGCCCTCACTTTTCAGACGGGTCGAGGCAGGATCCAACGCAAGGGCAAGGAAAGGACATTGCTGCCCAGAATTTCACCATCTGGGGGGGGAGTCTCTTGGACAAAGAGAAAAATCATGGTCTTTCTCAGACGGGGTCTGAAAAAAAAAATTCAACGGGAACAGGGGGGGGTCATTTTACGGGGTACGCTATATCCCAGGCCCAGGCCCGCCGGGGCGACTGGAAAAGGGCTCACTAAAGTGCCCTTTAGCCACGTCTCTCGATGCGGGAGGCTATAGGCGCGTGGCAGAGGACTCAAAACACGCACTACAACTCTCACTGCCTAGCCAGAGAGGAGATCGTACTTTGCATAGACAGCACTGCGGTAATATGGGGCATACGCGGAACCGCCCCTACCTCCTCCCAATGGGCGTTCCTCCAAATCCATGGAGCTATGGAGGCCTACAACGTGAAAACGCGGTGGGCGCCGGGACACATGAAGATTGTTGGAAAACGAGCTCGCCGACCAGCTGGCTGACAACGAGGCCAAAGACCCGCACCAACCATACGGCATGGCCACCTCCCCCACAAGATCCGGTATACGAACAGTAGGCCGCCGCCTCCTCGAACATACAAGGGACACTTGGTGGAAGGATAAGAGCAGTAGGCTATCAGCATGGTACACGCAATGGCAGCTGCCATACGATACTAGGCGCACGCCCGCAGCGCTATGGCTACCCCGAAGGATACTCGCGAAAGTCCTTATGATACGCTCAACGCATGGCGACTTTGAATGGTACCACCGAAAATTCAACCACGAGGATACCTCGAAATGCCTATGCGGCAGGCCCAAGACGCCAGAACACCTAGTGTTCTGCAAGAGAGCCACAACACACTTCAAGAAGTGGCCTCTACGCCCCATCGTGCCCCCTCGCACAAGACAGGAAGGCCTAGCGTACCTCGCGCAATTAATAGACCAGCCACAAGAGTTCGAGACCTTCGTGAAGGTAACGAACTCCTTCTATGACGAGTGATTTCTATTCTTGAATTTCACAAGACCCGCTGAATTCCTTGGCATTATTCAGTGTAGGATTCGCGGCAAAACGCCGCATAGATGCCACAACCCACACGCTCTCTCTCAAACCTTTTATTATATCTCAAATTGCCTCTTGTTACTTTTTCGTTTCTCTCTCTAAAAAGCAGTTACTGTACTGCATCGATCAAAGGCGCAAGCCACGAAATACTAGAATATTGTAGGAAAACGGCTTCAAATGGCGGGAGTCCTTTTCACGAACATGTATATAGGCAGGACATCACTCCCCTTAGATACAAAACACCTAGGAATAGGTTCCACGAGGCAAGTGCGACAACACTATAAGACCACGGCGGGACCCGCCCGAATACCCTATGGGAGGTTACAGATAGGGCGTTAAACCACAATCAACATCAACATCAACAACCAAAGTTCACCTCACGAGGCCGTAACGTTAAGCTTCCGAGTAAATATAAGTAGTACAGATTAATCGCAAGCATCTAGTTACTACTCTTCTGCAGTGTCTCATAATAATAGCTATTGTACGTGGCTTGATAGCCTTACTTTTGAAGTAGTGGATATGGTGTTCGGCGATCGTTGCGCGAATCCGATCGTTCCGCGCACGGGCACGTTACGCGCACGGACACAGTACCACAGAAGTGACAAAAAATCATACTTTCCTTCACTTATTGGTTCCACGTTATAAAGCTTATGAGGCTAGCACGCTCATCATGTCAAATCCCCAGGACCAATGTAACTTATAAATATCAGTCTTTCCTGGGACGAAAGCCGGTCTTACCATGTTTTACTTAACCCGTCTCTCATCCCACAACATACCTACACATATACATACACACACGCGCACACATACACAAGAACGAGACAATGAAGTGGACAACAGCACTTCTCCCCTTATCAATGGCCCGCGGCGTCTTCTCCGTCATATGCTGTGAGGACTTCCTAGGACTTCCGTGCCCAGTTGATGGTCTTATCGGCAATCGTGCATGTGTAAGTTAAACCACATTAAGCCTATCACTATCCAAATTCTTTTCACATGAAAGGAGGGGGGAGTAGGAGTAGCGTCGTATATAACAGTGTAGCTTACATGTTTTGTGTTCTCTTTAGTGCTATTATCCCGACACGGATGTCAAAAAGAAGTCTTGCAGGGGTGACTTCCCAAACTGGAAGAATCATCATGCCGATGTCTACTTTGATCGCAAGCTCATCGAAAATTGTGCTACCCCGTTAAATAATGGGAGGCTTTATTGCGTCGCCTAATTACTGTTCTGTTCTTATTGAGGAATAACGGCTGGGAGAAAAAGAGATGGAAAGGCTAAGGCTCTATTTGCTTTTTGAAGCAATGCCTGTGGTAGTAGTGGTATATTTTGTGATGTTGTTGCGTGTTGCGGGAAAATTGGTATATCGTAATGCTGTACATAGTAGGGATTGGGAATGGAGGGGTTCCTTATGGGTATTTCTTGACATTATCATTAGTCTACTAATCGCCAGACTCGAGAAATACGAAGTGCACGTTATGCATTGACCATTTTTCAACAAAACACACTTCCCGGGTAACTTGTATGTTGAGATTTTCCATCAAAACACCCTTCCCGGATAACTTGTATATTTGGAAAAAGTGGGGTACAACGAATTTTACTAGTCGGAACGTCAGATAAGCAACTTACCGAGACGGTGTAGTTCAATAGGTCAGTGCGGCCTATTACTCTCTCGTATACATATAGGTACATTACAGATGCGGATGTCCGAAGAACCGTACCAGATGCCACTATCCCCAAACGCGACATTGTGAGCTAACGGCGTCTTTTAGAAATTTGAATATTTAATGGACTTGCAATGAGTGCATTCAGAGTCTCGGGGTCATCGTTATGTCGCATACGATGATCCGAAGTGACCAAAGTGTGTGTCCGTGCGGCTTGTCACTCCCGTATACATGCACGGAAGACATATGCGAATCTCCGAGAAGCGTATCAGAGGCGTCGGACGACACACCGCCAAAAGATCCAGAATTTTCCCCAGCCATCGTTATCCAACGATGTCGATCCTCTCTGTAGTGTTGAAGTACTTATATCATCCCTTTGCGCTGCTGAAAGGAGGGTATCATACCAGTTCTCTCTCCCTGACTTGGCTTTTATCTTAAAACATACCCACACACAAGCACACACATACACGCAAGACCATGAAGTGGACAACAACAGCCCTCCTCGCCCTCTCAATGGCCCATGGCGTTATTTCTGTCTGCTGTACCAGCCCGAACTTTAGCGGTTGCAGTAACGGAGTCAACAAGCCTGGCGTCCTAAAATGCGTAAGTCCTATTCATGTTCATCAGCCCCGCATATCAACCCACACACTTTTCCCTTTGTGTAGAAGTGTTGAGTAGTAAAGTTCTGCTTCAAAACGAACCAAGTAATCTAACTCACAATCTTCTTCTAGTGCATTGCCGGGGATGAAGGATGTGGGGGAGCCTTCTGGAGGTTTTTTCCAAATGCGGTGCGTCAGACAAGCAGTGTTTGTGATGCCGACACGTACTGTGTTTCAGCCTCCGATTGAAGTTGAATTAGAGTGTGCCAGGAACCAAAGATTGCTCAGACACGGGAAGGTAGAGGTGGAACTAAGTAGATACATTACGTTAAATCAAAGTCTGTGACATCACAATCAATGATGTCTCGAAATCTTGCATCTTCCATGTGACCTTCATAAGTTCTTCATATCTCTTCGGACATGAGAAGCGCTCCTAAATCAAAATGCCGATTTTCCATGAATTACCTGCGGACAGCGACGTCATTTGTCTTTAAACATCATAACGCAATAATACACGACTTCGGTATACAAAAGATGAAGGTTTCTCACGTATTAAATGCCCCTCTACCCACCCTTGCCAACTAAATAAACCTCCCAAACCATTCCATCCTCACCTACCCCGTCTTCTCCCTAACCACACCCTCTCTCCCCATCATCATGCCCCCCGGGGTACTTCCACTCTCCTCACTGCCTAACCTGAAAATCTCATTCGAATTATCAATCGTCTCCATCGGCGCCACTGGTTTCTCGCCCAGCGCAATCTTCTCAGATGGAATAATCCAGTTGAACCATGGCGGCATAAGGATACCAAGCACGATTGTAGGGACCACTAGATGGGTGATGCTGAAGCCATAGATCATAATGGGGTCGTACATGTGAGTTTTTGTGAATTTGGGATAAGCGAAAGAGAGAACGATTGCGAGAATAGGGCCGGAGATATACTATTTGGGGGGTCAGAGGGGTTGATATTGGACGGAAAGAGGGGAAGTCGAGACGCACCTTCATGATAGCAGCCCAGAAGTAAGGGATACTCCAGTTCTTACCCACGCCGATGACAACATTGAGATCGCGGGTAAGTTGGTTTCCGGGGTAGAAAGCAACCCACCTAAAAAAAAAAAGAACCACCGCTGTCAGTGCAATCCTCTCACCACATTTTTCGGAATCTACTTACCAGAACCGACTTAAAAACTTTCTGTTTCCCCAGAACCTTGGCGCCGGAATTGCTGGCGTCTTTGCCATAAACAGACTCACAAAAGTGCTTGCTGCGAAAAAGGCAAAACCAACACCAGCACCAATTCCGGGCGTGGAACCATACGCAACACGGATGCCCAGGCCCTGAGCGACCGCAAAACCAATCGTGTATGTCAGGAAGCCCGGCCAACCGACTTGATGTGCTACATCGCGGCAGCGGTAAAATGACGTAGCAGCGAAGCACTCGCACCACACCGTGAAGAAGAGGGCGACATCATTGACGTATGTGTCAACCGCATCAAGAGCCTGTAGTCCAAATTCGGTGCAGTAAATCAGGGAGATAAGGGCAGAAACGATCGTCACAATAGTGCAGACCGCCCATCGGGGAATTTTCCTGCCCCAATCCGTGTCCATGATAAGTGTTGTCATGACCTCAAGAAGGGAAAACGCAGATGTGAGACCGAGCAGGAAGAGAGTGAAGAAGAAGATGACGGCGAAGAAAGGGGCGCCGGGCATTTGGGCGAGGGCTTCCGGATACGTGATAAAGCCTGTTACAAAGGTGCCGAGAGCTCTACCCTCGGAGGGGTCGATGCCTAGGTAGCCGATTACGCCAAAGACGCTGAAGGCGGCGATAATTTCGACAGCAGAATTGCTGAAGCCGATGATGAGGGCGTCTTGAACCGCGTTGGAGTGCTGAGTGCAGTATGAAGCCCAGGAGGTAAAGTAGCTGTACAGACATCTGGTTAGTAACACGTATTTTCCGTGTGAACACAGATTTCAAACTCACCCAAACCCTACACCAATCGAGAAGAAAATCTGGCCAAAAGCCGCCTGCCAAATTTGTGGACTCTGCAGCGCACTCGTCCTCCATGTCGCAAAGTACAATTTGATCCCATCGCCCGCATTCGGCAGCGAGCAACTCCTCCCAATCAGAATGATGATGAGAACAAGCGGCAAGCCCATGGTAACATAGATGACGCGACCCGTCATACCCACGCCGCGAAAAACGCACAGCCAAGTAACGAACCAGGTGAAGATTGCCCACCCGGCCGTCTCGCCTAGCATACCGGTGCCGACCCATTTCGTGTATTCCGCGACGCTACCATCGGGGTTGAAGCTACCGGTAGACGCAGGATCGACGTTTGCGACGATGACTTGCGCGAAGTATTCGCTGAGATCTTGACCTTTCCACGGAAGCGGGCTTTGAAAGGAGCGGGAGAAGTATTTCATGATCCATGCTAGGAGGGGGACGTAGTAAGTCACGACAACATACTGCAACATGAATCAGCTTCAAGCGTCTAAGAAACTCATCTTGCTGTCTTTCCCAACTTACACCATTGAAAACAACCGAAAGTCCAATTCCTTTCGCCCGTTTATTAACACTATGCCACGCTAGCACAGGACCGCCGCGGTACACGGTGCCTAGTGAGATTTCCAATACCAAGATGGGAAGCGCGACGAAGAAGAGGGCGATGAAGTAGGGGATGAAAAACTGAAGACCGTAGTTGTTGTATACGACGGAGGGGAAACGGAGCAAGTTTCCTAGACCGACGGCGCCGCCCATGGCGCAGAGGACGAATTGGATGCGGTTGGAGAACATGTCGCGTCCATCTTCACCTTTTTTCGCCTCGGGCAAGAGCTTCAAGAGGATTCTTTTAAAGGCCGCCATTTTGACTGAGAGGTGGGTTGAGTAGTGTGAGACAGAGTGAAAAGCAAGGATATGAGAAGAGGAAGAGGAGTGATCACCCTCGTACAGAGGAGCTGATTGTATACGCCCACTAAACTTGCAAGAAAGCGCACGATCACTCGAGCTCAGAAGACAGAAGAACTCAACTGTGAGCGATATCCTACTTCCCAGGCACGGAGACCCCAGTAAATATAACACCGAAAAGCAAGACCAACACTCACCATCTCATTATCAGTCCCTCCAAGCACTCCGCCCAGACCCAAGCAGCCACCCACCTTCTTTTTACAAACACACACTAGCAGAAGTGGCGTTCACGACCCCTGGAAATTCACTTCTCCAGAAAGGCGGTTGCTGAGAGTCTTAGCTAGCGCCATAACTAGCCACACTGACAACCGACAGCACGGATGCAACGGCTTTTCCGCTGTATCCAACCAGCCGGCAGCAAAACAGGAGGCAGGAACATAGTACTGTCTCAATCTCTTGATCTGTCACTGTCATCTAGAAAATCACAATCAACTTCACTCACCAACAAGTCCATCATATCACTCACCCTCCCCTCCACCAGCATCCCAAACCACACCCAGCACCGCCGTACGTGGTACCAACCCCACCTCCACCCTCTCGCAAGATGTCTTGGAACCAGCTCTGGCAATGTCTTAGCCCGGGCTGAGGCGTAGCACGCGACCAAGCCCACCCTTTTCACAAGCGGTATACTTCTCGAACGCCCGGATGCATGTCTCTACACATGCATTACATCTGTATGGTCAGCTAGATAGGAATTACGCCGAGTATACACATGTTTGGATATGCTATGAGGGGGGTCCGGGTATGACGGCACTGGCTTGGCGCTTGGTATTTTTCCGCCCTGTGGTGGGCTGAGGTGTTGCCCAGAGCTGATGAGATGTGATTGAACGTCGTCTTCTTATGATGATATGTCGATAGATGGGAAAGGTGTTGGTATCCGCATGATCGCGTGTGCTGGTTGCTCGGTCTTTCTTCTTGTTGTTGACCGCTTATCAGCGGTTTGGTTTTGATGTTTGCCTTGCCTCGCCATGTCTGATCTTGGATTGCGGGTGCTCCGGTGCTGTAGTTACGCCTGATAGTGGAGTTCACAAACTCAGATAAGTGTGCGGTCACGTGACATGTTGTTATCGTATCCAGATTAAGCTGATGTGCGCAATATACTGTGGAATGTGCAATGCGGGCGGTGCGACGTTCATATACACATAAGAATGGTTGATCACCTGTAGGGGCGTGTGGGCGCAGGGTGGAGTTCCCCGCTCGGGGTAATCAGGCCCCCACTTGAGATGAAATCGCACTAGTACCGACATACGTCTTCCACCGTTATCGCTTCTCCAGGTGTATCTATAACTATAGCTCTAGGCAGAAACTTTCTCACACTGAACATTGGTATATGCATTCATCTTAAAAGTTTAGCCAACACGCTATACAAGACATTATATGTAAATCCCACGTCGTATAAACCTTCAATCATTCACCGGCGCAAAATCCCCTAACAAAGCCATACAGCCGCGCCGGTAACACTGAACTTGTCGAGACGCGGTGAGAGCCTTCACTAGTATTCACGGTGAATCAGGCTTCCCGTGCTCTGATTGGCCAGGCACTGATTAGTCAGCTGCTCCGTGCGCGCACCATAGATATTCTCCCTTCTCCCGTAGCTCCAATACAACAAGTTCACACACATTTTCTCCACCTCCATCAGAACTAGCTCCTTGAGAGCATGAACTAGCACCAGCATCAAATAGACATCTAGATCTTCTCGACCGAGCCATAATCATCTCCAAACACTGCTCCTCACTATGCCTACCTACTCACTCCTCACTCCTCGTCATCTAAGTCCCTGACTAAGCGACACAATACCCAACTCTATACTAAACTTCCAACTTTATCATCGCCCACAAGAAACTGATTTTTATCACATCTAGCCTATTAAGCATGCCAGCCATCTCGATCAACTGCGCAAGACAAAATGAGTCTCACAATCTGTACAAGGGAAATGGCAAAGGTTATTTGATTGGAATGAACCGCTCGTTTCGTCTTGTTTCCTGTCCTTGCTCCTCGCTACTACTATCACTTGTTTTTACTGGAGAACCTAATACGATTGCATATGCTAGTTTGTTATTTCTCTTACACACGTTCTGATAAGGGCACTTGAGTTGACACGGTTATACGCTATATTTTACTAACATACCTCACGGGCGAGCCGCCACTTTTTGCCAAGCCCCCACCAAACTCCACCCTATTCTGGCGCATAACAGCCCACTTTGGCCCTATATAGTATAATACAACACAAGATATTATTCAGAGTCTACTTCTACTGCTTGCTTACACGTACGCGCGTTATGTCCGGTCTGATTGCACCGTCCACACCGTCTTTAAGTTGGCTCACCTCCTTCAGCGCGCACCCACGTCTTTAGCTTCTTCCTATTACTACGCGCCCTAAACTCCTTTAAAGCAGTTAGACGAGCCCCATCCTTAACTGCTAAGGTCCCACCTGCCTAAATCCACTTCCTTTTATACAATCTACGTCGCGTAGCAGCCTTATTTGCCGCTCGAAGCTCTGCGATCTCCTTTTACGCCAACACTAGCTTGTGCGCGATAATCGCTGCCCCCTTTAAGACCTTCTTAAAGGCCTCTACTATAGACGTTGGTGAGCTATCTATATGCCTCTGAATCCTCGCCTTTACAAGCGTTGATTGTGACCCTAATTTAAGGGTATTACTTGGGGTTTGCGACTGCCAGGGCTCGTTGTTAATAGGTAGTAGTAGTGATAGAGTACGCAACTAGACGTCAAGGGCTGTTATAACCCGTTCTAGGTTAAATAGGACTAATCTAGCGCCTCGAAACCCTCTTTGGATATTACTAGGAGTAATTGCTGCATTGTAGGCACGTATAAAGCATAGTAAGAACTCAAGCTTTGTAATGTAGGTGATCCGGTTACGCATAAGATCCTCAGCTTGGCGCCCGTACGCCGTCTTTAAAGGCGAGAAACACCCTACATCAAGAGGCTGTAGTAGGTGCGACGAGTGAGGAGGCATGCAGATAGTGATAATCTTGTTCTCCTTGCAGTATTGCTGGAATTCGAGCGAGTCGTGGCTCTTATAGCCGTCGATAACGAGCAGTCGATGAGCGCCTATAACCCTCCTCTTTGTATGCTCGTTAAAGTGCTTTAACCACTGCAGGCTAAGCTTATTTGTTGTCCAGCCGTTCTCAGAGACTGCAATAACCTAGTCGTGCGGCGTGCTGCCCTCCTTATACTAGGCAGAGAGGTGGTACTTGCCCTAGAAGATGATGAAGGGTAGAATAGCCCACCCTGTCGCGTTAATGCCTTAGATAACTGTTGTCCACTCTCTATTGCCTTGCTGCACTAATTTTGGCCGTCCTCGTCTCTCTAAAGCTGTAACAACCGCGCCAGTTAATATCTAGCCTATCATAAAGCCAGACTTGTCGAAGTTATACGTGTCTTCATCTAGGATGCCGTACTTAGCTTTAATGTTAGCTACTAGGCCAAACTAGCCTTGTATAATCTCAGGATCCTCGCAGAGGGCTCTCTTGTAATTATACTTGCGATTAAACTTTATTGTGAGCTCAGGGCGGCGCTTGACGAACGTACTGGGCCAGTTTAAGCTAATATAGCCTATATTGCGCTCTGCGCGCAAGGAATTGGCCATATCTGCTACAGCTGCGAGCCTAGGGGGAAACCCTCGCGCGAATAGCTCAAGTATATGCTCAACAATCACCTCCTCCTTAAGCTTAGTTAGATTCCTTGAGTTAGGCTCACAATCTACGCGTGCAGGTCGTCCAGCACATCGATCGCTCAGTGTCTTTCAAGGAACGTTGTAGATAGCTGCAGCGCGTCCTATCTTAAGTGTTGGGTCTTGTTTAATAGCGCGAAGCGCATTCTGTATCTGACGTTCGCTAGAAGATCCTGTAGGGTGTTGTTGTTGCGACATTAGAGGAGGTAGGTGTTTTGGTGGGGGCTTGGCAAAAAGTGGCGGCTCGCCCGTAGTGGCGGCTCGCCCGTGAGGTATGTTATTATATTTTAGCACTTTGATTACTCTCACCGCCGTAACTATCGTCACCATTACCCTCATCACCATTATTCACACACACCAACAAAACAACACTGCGCATCAACGTCGCCACACGACCCAAACATACAATTATCAGGTATGTACCCTACCCTACCCTACCCCACCCTACCATCCCATTCCATCTACCAATGTGAAAATAGATAAGAACGAAAGGAAAAGAAAAAGCCATCGTCGTCGCAAACAATAAAACCACGACGACGGACCACGAAAAAGAGTAACAAGGAAAAAGAAAGAATTACCCCTTTCCCATCGGATACCGAATAATAGTCCTGGTTTACGTAGGTACGTAGGTACGTACGTCTTGGAGACGCACAACACCCACCTGACTGACATGCTCAGCCACCAAAACTTCTCCTCATACTCCTCTTCCTTCCCAGCTCAACACCCTCGACCCACCACTCCCTCAACCTCCCACCTCGGCCGCCAGTTTGTAAACTCATCGTCTCGGCCGCACCGTCACCACCGACCTCACCATCAGCAGTCACCACAACCCCAAGCCTACTCCTCCCATAGCCGTGTCTCCCCACCAAGCGAGCTTTCTAAGCACCAGGCGTAACACTCCTATCCCTCCTGAGCAAGCCCCGCCCCATCTTGCCACTACCTCTGGCGGGACTAACACTGCCGTTTCCACCCACACTACCAGCGTCCGCGGGGATAAAACTACTCCGTATAACCACCATACCCTTGCCGACACCCACATTCTGCTCACTACCGGAGCCTTGATCGGAAATGGTAAACTGTGCCTCTCCCAACTCCTCGTCTCGACCGAAACTGCGGTGGTCTTTGACGACGACGCGGAAGAAGGCATCGGCCGTGCAGGTCGTCTTGAAAGATTCGGAGACGGGGTCAAAGGTGACGGAGCCTTGGGGTGCTTTGATGTGGTCAGTTTTGTGAAGTTCCTTTTTCGCGAGCGAGATGTGCACGCGGAGGTTGGTGTTGGGCGGGAAGCCGTCGGCGGCGAGGACGGTGATGTTTGCTGTGCCTTGTTCGGCAGCGCTGCCGTTGCTGGCGTCGCCGAAGCGACTGTGGAGGCTGGAGGCGCCCCAGCTGCGGTGGCGGTTGTGGTGGGGTTGGGAAGTAGAGTCGCGGTTGGGAGGTGTGCTTGGTTCGCCTTCGATGGAGATGACGGGGGTGTCGGCCGAGGGGCGGTCAGCAGTCGGAGGTCGTTCGAGCTCTTCTTCTGTTGGGGCTTCGCCGCGAGACTTTCTGCGCTTGAAGCCGCGACCGAGGAAAGTTCCGGCGCGAACTACGTTGCCGCCTACGAATGCAGCGCCCTTACCAACGCCCTTAACGGGAGCTCCGAGAACTTTTCCTGGGACGGCAAAGGTGCCGGAGAAGGTACTTGAGCCCTGTCGGGAGCGTACAACGTAGTCTGGCTTGAACAACATGCGTAGACGGATCGCGCCAGACTTGCCATCCAGGGCAAGTGTGACTTCTTGTTGTTGGAATGGCTCCAGAATCTCCAGATTGATGCTCGACTTGCCAAGGAAGTCGGCCTTGTCACCAAAGTCCCAGTCGTAGACATTAACCACAAAGTCGGCCGCGGTCCTGCTTCGTACGGGAACTTCAAAGTACTCGTTCCACGCAGGGTGGAGAGTCTTCTTCTGCGTCTTCGTCTTGTACACCTCTCTGTCGTTGAGGATGAACTTGCAGTACGGATCGGAGAAGCCGTTGCGGTCAGCAGCTGGCAGGTCCGCTGCATCAAGCACATCCACTCGCAGGGTACCCTGGTTGTTGAATGATTCACTGGGGTCGAGACGCATCTTTACAGGAATGTACTTGAGCATGACTGTGATCTTATTCTCGCGTCCCGATTTATCCTTGAGGATGAGTACGGTAGGGGTGTTCTAGATGAGTTAGCATATGTCGTCAAGTAGGCTACTGGTACTTACGAGAGATCTGCGCAAGGTGTCAATGGTATTTCCTGTAAGCTTGGCAATGACATGATCACCGTGATCCTCGCCATCCTGGTCAATGTGCTCAATGATACGAAGGGTAATCTTGGAGAAGTCGAGCTCGCGGATCATGGTGTCGCCAACTGCTCGCTGTTAGCAAATATAGTGAACACAGACTGAAATTACATACAGTCGTTGAAAGTCATCTTGTTGCTCCTGATCTTGGCACTTGTGTAGCTGGCGTATGCCATGTCGTCCATAATAACATCGACATAGCCGCCTGTTTTTGCGAACTCGCCATCAATGAGCTTGAACACAAGCAAACCAGATTCTACAAAAGTTAGCCATTGTCTAGTCAATGATACAATAAGAATACGGGCATAAGGCTGGAGGTTGGGACAACCAACTTAACCAGCCAAAACTTCCCGCATCCTCAGAATGCTCGCGTAACCTACCGTACTGCTGAAGATCATCTGGAGTAAGTCTCAACTTTTCAATCTTGGGCTTCTCCGGGATCGATTCTGCTTGCTGTAGTTCGTTCTTCTCGAGCTCCTTGGCCATATCGCGCTCGTTGGACTTGAGCGATGAAATGGTGCCTGCCGTCTCCGACCTGGCCAGGGTAGAAGCATTCGATACAACTCGCTGATGGCTGAGCTTCGATCCGTTGGAAGTTGTTCGTGCATGACCATTGGTACCCTCGTGCTTCTCTTGTTCCTCCTCCTCCTCCTCTTCGTCCTCTTCAGGGTCCCATGTCGGGTATGTGGGGTAGAAAGAGCAAGTGTAGTTGAGCACGCCCTTTGGCTGCGACTGTCCAGCGAGCCGGAGGGGTCCCGCGGTGGGCTGCTTCTGTTCGTGTTCCAGGTACTCGCCGTTTTCGTCTTGCTGAATATAGTCGCTAGCCGAAAGTTCAATGTGTCCCAATGGGCGATCCTTGCCAAGGTTTTCGTCGTCCATGACTTCCAGGGTGAGCTTTTCGCGGACGCTGTGTACAGGCACGTAAATAACTTCATCCCAGTCCGGGTCCAAGTCGTTCTTGAATACAACAGTTCGACCCTTTTCGATACCAGAGAGTAGCACGCGAACGTATGGGTCCGACTTTCCGAGAGCCTCAAGGTTGCGAAGCCCGCGAGCACTCTGGAAATGAAGCCGCATCACACCGATAGGAGTAAGATAGCCACCAGAAGTGACAGCTCCCTTGAGAGCAACCGGTTTCCAGTCGAGCTTCATCTTCACACGGCCGCTCTGTGTACCAGCGAGATTGTACCATTCGTGGCCCTTGGCCATGAGTTCCAGCATGTCGTCGAGCGTGATTTGGTAAGTACCGAGGATGGGGTCAGCCGCAAGATCGCGGTCGTCTTTGATGACCAAGCCCAGCTTTGCCTTTTTACGATCGGTGATAAGCATTTCCTTGGTCGCATCAGGCCAAATGGGCTGGTTCGTTCGCTTCATGACGCGTGATCTATGAACTTCGTGACCGTTAAGCAATAGGATGGCGTATGGACTCACTACAATACGTTAGCAAATGACCAGAATATATATCGCAGTAGCAGTGTGGAGGAATTTGACCCACATTGTCCAATCATGCTCTTGCTACCATCCATATCCTTGGCTTGCTCCACGGTGAACTTGCAGATACCAGTACGCGATTCTGGAGGCGGCTCCTTTGTGCCATCATCCAGCGTCGTACCCTCAAGAACGGGGAAGAATCGTACGTCTGCCGAAACAATACCACGCGCTCGACCTCCCGACATGACCTCAAGTTGCATATTCTCGTGGATAGCGTCCTCTTCCAGCTGCTCCAGCGCAAACGTAGCGGTACCGAGTTCCTTGTCCTTGCGGATGTCATTGTAATCAAAGATGTTAATTGTAAGCGAGTCTTTCAGCGAAGTCACAATAATGTTCACAGTCTCATTCCATCGGGGATTAGCATTTTCGTGCACAGTCTTGGTACGTCCAAGTACATTGCGGTTGTTGATAGACACAGTGGCGTATGGGTCAGGCGTTCCAGAGAACTTGTCAGGGTTCTTGAGGCCTTGGGCACCGTGGAAGTGGACTTGTAGCACACCAATAGCTTGGTCGACGGGGTTGCCGGCAAGCATCTTGGCAATCTCAATAGGGAACACGTTAGGGTCGTACATCATTGGGCCCAAATTGGCATGGATTTGCTCCATGATAAACGTCTCGAGACCGGGGATGAAGTTGATGTCGAAGCCAAAGGTTTCTCCACCAAGGGGTTTGCAGACGTAGTCAATAGTTGGGCGCTCCATGAAGGACATTTCAACTTTTTCGATATGAGGAAAGGGCAACTGCAGCTTGAACTTGAGGCGCATCAGGCCGGAAAAGGCCATGTCTTCGACGATGACGTCCAAGCCTTTGCTAACAAGGCCTTTGCCGACGCGAATCTCCAGCACGATTTTGGGGTTAATCTTGTTCTTGATCTGCCTTGCCGTGAGATCGGCGGTGTCATTGGGCGTAAAGCTAAACTTCCAGTCCATGAGGACAATGTCATCCTGTGTCTTTGGGTAGGTCTTGACGTGCTCTAACCGCGGAGGCTTTGTTCCCAGCACGAATGTCTTCATCTTCAAACTGTCGAGAAAGGCCGGGGTAGAGGTGGAGAGGACCTGGTCGACAGTGCCCACTATAGTATCACACAGAACAGGGGCATAGATGGGCCAAAACTTGACGAGGAAGCTGTTGATCCATTCCAAACTCTCCGTGTCCGTCTCCAGCTTATTCTTTGCCATTTCGCGGTTGAGGTCGTCGCGTGCATTACGGCGTACGCGACGGATCGAGGTTCGGTAGTAGGTTCCACAGACGGCGATGAAGATGATGATCCAGCCCAGGCCCCCGCCCAGGATACCAACAACCCAGGAGCTGAGACAGGCGAATATGATGATACCGGTATTGTGGTACCAGTCGCCAAAGAACTTGTCCTCTATCCGGCCCTCGAGCCATGTCTGGTGGTCAGCCAGTGAGGCCTCGTCCTCAATTGGCTCGTCGGAGCCTGGCATACCGAATCGCGGCGCCCATCCCACGCGCTCCCATCGTGCGTCGTCGTCGAGCTTCTCGGGGATGCGGCCGTTCGCTTTCGCTTCCTCTGGTGTTTCGATGGCGCCAGCTTTGGAGGGCGGGGGGAGATCGTATTGCTGAGGGCCATTGTCGTCGGCGTCGGATACGAGGGCGGTCGCATTCTTGTTCCGTTCGTGGTGGAAGCCAGGAGGAAGTCGCGCTCGTGCCTGTGCCCGCTTCTGCTCCGGACTGGCATTGGGGTCAAACTGGAAGGCGGCGCTGCCACCAGCTTGCGCCTCATTCACCAGGGCCCTCTCCGCTTGCTGTGCGGTAATGCTAGAATCGGGGTCCTTTGCAGCATCGAGCACACCTTGCTGCTTCAGCTCGGATTCACGCAATTCCGTCGCCATGTCGGCAGTGTGGAGCGCAAGTCCGGGTCGCGAGCTCTCCAGCAGCTGCGGGACAATGAAGGTGCAATCGGGCGCTCGGGATCGTCGATCAGTTATGGGGTTAGGTGTGGGAGCTTGTGGCGTAGAATTAGGGGACGAGTGAACGGCAACGTGTTGTTGTTGGGCGCAGAAACCTGCTATATGCCTGGTTAGCTCTGCCTGGCTTGACGTCGGCAGCTAAGCTTTGGCGGTACTGCATGTGTGCAGCAGCAGTTGCGTGCTACTCACCAGTACAATAGTGTCTCCGGCTGACTACGCTCTCGTAGGGCAAATTCGTCTCCACAAAACGGATTTAGGTTGAATAGTTACAAAGGAAAATAACCACAAGGAATGACTAGATTGAGTATTGTAGGGAATGGGCACACAAGCCGAACAATCAAGCTTGCTCGCTCCCACGCAATCACGGAGCTTGGGTGAGGTGTCGATGTACTGGGATTCCTCCCCGGCAATGGCCACGACCCGGCCGTGCTTTGGTCGTCACCCAGTGGCTCCTGCACTGCCTCACAACCTATGAATTGCAGTTGCAGCAATAGATTGCAATGTTACCACGGTCGGTGCAATCCGAAACTATGGATTCATTCAAGCTGCCTGACTCGTCAGCCGAGCTTCCTGCTTCCTTGTGTCATCAGCGACCGGTACATATTCCCGTGGTACATACATATCAGTATCGGCACGATTATACGACAGGGACCCCTCAAAGAGCTACTCCAACTCCGACTATGACGCTACCCACTGCAGGGGTGCGCGCATCGCGTTCCAAACTTGCGCTAGCCATTAGCGCCCTTGGCACCACCTCAGCCACCTGGGCACTTCATTCGACACGTGATGTATCCACCCGTGACATGCTCAGCGGAAAGACAAGCGACACTTGTTGCTCATATTCGACATCTTACTCAGATACGTCGCTTTTCTTTCCACAGAGCGCCGACACGAAGCTACTGCTTACTCTGCGCGAATTTACCGCTTATATAGTTATTTATTGGAACAAGGTCTCCTCTGGTGGTATGACTACCATAGGGAACCGAGTAGAGGTATGTTAGGTCACCACGTATTGGATTGAACTACACTAAGAGCTGTTGTTCTGTCTTCTTATTATCATGATGATCTGGGGATTTACATGACAGATCATCATTCCGCGTCGGTCCTTCTGCTCGGGCTTACTTCCACGAGCCTCATCCCCGCCGACCTGGACTGAACCTTACATCTTCTCAACACTCCCCCTCAGGGCAGGTCCGGTCTAAGGACAACTCCTAATTGGTTCTTGAATTTCTCGAATGCGACTCGCTGCAACGGCTTTGTCATTCCATCAGCCACCATATCTACAGTTGGCACGTAGGCCACGTCGAGTTTACCTTGTTCTGCTAGGTCTCTGATAAAATGATAACAGACGTCGATGTGCTTTGATCTTTCGTGAAGGTGAGGGTTCTTTGTAAGTGCAATGGCACCCTGGTTATCTCCTAGCATCTGGACCTTGTTGGTGTCTTTTCCAATGTACTTTGGGAACCCAAGATCTCTGAACATTTGAGCAATCCACTGGCCTTGCTTACAGCATGTTGATAGTGCGATGTATTCAGATTCGCAGCTTGACGTTGCAACAGACCGTTGCTTCTTGCTAGACCATGATATTGGACCTCCGTAGAACATTGCAGTGCTCCCTGAAACGCTCTTTCGGTCTACCATGTCGCTTGCCCAGTCAGCATCAGAGTAGATGACAAATTGCGAGTGTACTCCCCCTGGTCCGTAGCGTAGCTTCATTGTTACTGTCGACCTTAGATATCGTAGCAGGTTCTTCAACGCATGGCCATGATGTTCTGCTGGATCGCTCATGTATTGGCTTAGCTTTCCGAGGGTGAATGCAATGTCTGGGCGTGTAAGAACCATAGCAAACATAAGGCTCCCTATCACTTGCTGGTATTCAGTGATGTCGATTCGGGTGTCGTTGTTAGTGGCTGGCCTAAATGACGTGTAATCTGCGGATGGAATCTTCTTGTCTCTGTGTTGTTTGCTAGACATTCCAAACTTGTCAAGTACTGCGTGTATGTACTGTTCTTGATCGAGGTAGATTGTGCGGCGCTTTCTGTCTCGCGTAACTCGTACTCCAAGGATCTTATGAATCTCCCCTAGGTTCTTGGTGTTGAATCTTCCAGAAAGCTTCTTGTAGAACCAATCAATTTGAGCTCGATCTTTTGCGGCAACAGCAATGTCGTCAACGTAGACGAGGATACGGAGTTGTTTTTCTTCGTGGATAAACATGCACGGGTCGGCAAGGCTTTGCACGAATCCCCATGCCAGAAGTTCTTTCTTTATTAACAAGTTCCAGTCACGAGCAGCTTGTTTGAGTCCATATAGGCTGCGGAGAACTTTAAGGACGTATCCTTTCTTAACTTCTACTCCCTGGGGTTGCTTAAGAAAGATCTCTTCCTTCAAATGCGACTCTGTGAAAGCATTCTTGATGTCAAAGTGAAAACATTCTAGGTTTTCCGCTGCGACAGTGGCCATAAACAGACGTAAGGTGTCCATGCGAACTGTCGGGGCGAAAGTCTCGTTGTAGTCTGTTCCGTGTACTTGCGTAAAACCTCTTGCCACAAGGCGTGCCTTAAACCTCTCAACAGTCCCGTCGAGATTTGTTTTGACTGTAAAAACCCACTTTGAATCAACCATGTTCGCGTCTTTTGGCTTTGGAACTTCCTCCCAGGTTCGATTCTCCATTAACGCGATTATCTCTTCAAGTATTGCTGCTTTCCATTGCTTTCCATACTTTGGGTCGTTGATAGCTTGCTCGTGTGTCTGGGGGATCTGGATTCCTGCGATCTCGGTTGCTGCAAAAGCCTTCTCAGATAGTCGTGTTTGCTCTTCTATAAGGCCAGCTTGGGCTAGCATAGCTTTAACGATCTTGCTAAATCTCTCGTCCTCAACAACCTCTTCGTTAGACCTCTTTCGTTTGGCTTGTCTGGTGAAGTATCGTGGAGCCTCCTCTTCTCGTACAGACTGGGTATACGGTTCTTCGGGTCCCTCTTCGTCCACAAGATTAGGAACCCGCTCATCAGATGGTGCAGTAGGGGGAATAGTCGTTAGCTTCCCTGGTCTTCCTCTGTGACGCTTAACTGGTTCGGGAGTTAGCTCTGCCGACGACAGTTCTATTGGGTTCTCGGGAACTGGCTCCACTATTTCTGCAGGAGATGGTTCCATTGGTTCGACAGGAGATGGTTCCATTAGTTCGACAGGAGATGGTTCCATTAGTTCGACAGGAGATGGTTCTATTGGTTCTGCAGGAGATAGTTCCATTGATTTGGCAGGAGGTGGTTCCATTGGTTCTGCAGGAGATGATTCCAGATCCTTCCTAGGTCTTCCTCTTGGTTTTCGGTCTGGCATCGTATTCTGCGTCCCTTGTGGTCCAGCTGGTATGTTTCGCAGTCGTAGTTCAACTTTTCCTCCAGGGGTGTATTCGTCCACTGATAATCGGCTTGTCCTTGAGGTGTATCCAAGCTCTGGCGAATAGAACTTGAACTGCTTGTTTGTTGTCTCAGAATATCCCATGAATACTCCAACTCTGCCACGGTCCACGAGCTTGTCATGTCGTTGGTCTGCTGGAATCGTTTTGGGGTTGATGTAAGAATAGCATTTGCTCCCCCATACACGGATGTGGTCAATGGATGGTTTCGTTCCTGTGAATGCCTCTTCAGGACTGACTTGCTTTCCATTGATCGTGGGTCCTGTGTTTGTGCGGTTTCGCAGGTATGCGTCTGCTTCGACAGCTTCATCCCAAAACTCAATTGGTAAACCAGCGTCTTTCAGCATTGCTCTCATATCAGCTTCAGCGGTTTGGATGTTTCGCTCAGCTGGTCCATTCTGGTGTGAGGAAGCAATTGTTGTAGGCTGAATTTCCACGCCCTGTGTAACTCTCCATTCCTCGGCTTGCTGTAGAAGTTCTGGTGCGTTGTCAGTTCCAGCAGCTTTAACCTTTTCGCCAGTTTGATGTTCTACAAAGGTCTTCCAGATTTGGAGTTCCCTTTGTGCGTCTCCCTTTTTCTTCAGCGGGATAACCCAGTTTTTTCGCGTGTAACTGTCAATAATAAGGAGGAACCACCTGTTTCCTCGCAGAGATGTTGGAAAGGGTCCTGCAATGTCAAACTGTACTAAGGCTAGCTTCGTGGCCTTATGCTCTCTCAGCTGCTTAGGGATGCTGTTCTTCATTTTCGTCAGAGAACACACTTCGCAGATTTCTATCTTCTCTGGAACTTGAATCTTCTTCTGGAGAGTTGTAACTTCGTGGAGTTTAGCAATCTTTGCAGGTCCTAGGTGTGCGAAGCGTCTGTGATACAGCAAGTATCTCTCCTTTTCATTAACCTTAAGCTCGCTCTTAACTGGTGCATGGAGTTCCGTGCCTAGAAATGCTGTTTCTTGGTATCCATCGGCAATGTGTGACACTACGTAGAGGCCGTCGTCCATAGTTGCTTCAATAATAACCTTCTTTCCTAGTTTGAAGTATAGTGCGTGTGAATTGAAACGACCCTTCAGGCTTGCTGCGCAAATTCTTCTTCCTGATAACAAATTGACTCCAAGGTTAGGTACAAGCAGTACTTCTGACAGCCATGTCGACGATCCATCCTTACACACCACTTGAGCTTCTCCTTTCCAGTCCGCATATAATTCTCCCCCTCCAACCCGAACGACTCTTCGTTTGATCTTAATCATTCGTCTAAATAATGAGGGTTGGTCAGACATGTGAGAGGATGCGCCAGTGTCGGCAGCCCAGGTAGATGGAGAGGCCTTACCGACGATGTCTTTTGAGAGACGGCATGTCTCAATTTCCTCGGGTTCGGAGTCTGAGGTCTCAGATAATTCATCTGACTCTGAATTGACTTCTTCGGCTCCATATGCTTTGCCAGTCCTTTTGTGGGAATTCCTTTGCTTAGGTGTCTTAACGAGCAGCTTAGATGATTTCTTAGCGTCGTATTCCT